ATTGGATGAAGAGGCAATGTTCTTGGCGTCGGATATATCCCCACAAGTACCGTCGATCCCCAACCCTACCATCGAAATAATGTTTCTCATTTACTTCTTTGTCAAGTAATCAACTTGTTAATCAAGTAAACCAAATTAAGATTTTGAACTCAATCCATATTTTTATTAAAGACTTACGACGTGAGTGGATAAAAAGGCTTCGCGAAGAACATCAACGTTTCCTGTGCATTCGAAGCTATAGTCCACACCTCCTCCCGTTATCTCTCGAATCATCTTTTGTGTAATGGTTAAAATTTTAGTTAACACTAACTTCTTTATATAGTTACTGATATTTTTTTCGTTATGAAATTGGTATATATAATACCTGATGTACTGGCTTAGTTAAGTCTTTAGGGTTTATGAAGTCTGTTACTCCCATTAGCTTACCTGTAATATTTGATTGGAGTAATATGGACCATATGGTGTTTATATGGACAGTCGTAGATGAGTAAGCTCCGCAAAATCTAGTAAACCTTATAATCTGTCCATTTGGTCTTGTAAAATATCATTTTATTTATGTTCCAAGATTGCGTATAAATGGAAACTATTGTATTCGCATTCTTAAGTCATTTGCTTCACTACTTTTCGAGATGCTTAATTCGATTAGCCAAAAAGAGATCGGGAAATTTGGTTTTATTTTACCAATATCAACCTTAATATGAAGAAAATGAGAAGCAGCATTGATAAAAAAAAAGAAGAACTAAAGTACCTTTTTCAAATTTGGAAGCATTAGCATCAACACCAATGATCCTAGAAGCTCCTCTTGCTCTTGCACCTTCAGCAACCTTCAGTTTTCATTCATGAAATAAATATATCATTTTGAATTCATATATATAAATGAAAAATTAATTAATTGATAGCATCAATGAATTAATTAAATTATATCTTACAGCGAGTCCAACAGAACCCAATCCAAAGACAGCAGTGCTTGTTCCTTCCTTCACTTTTGCAATGTTCCAAGCTGCTCCAACACCTATTTTTTTTTTCCCAAAACGACGTCGTAACATTAACAAGGAAACACCTCAACCTCATGAAACTATGCATGCTTTTTATTTTTACCACTTATATATACATGAGGTGGTCAATGGACCACGACGATATGTAACATTAAAATCCAAATTTAATTGAAAGAGACAAATTGAAATAACTGCGTTTTGGAAAGGGAAGTAAATGTGTTTATGAACCAAGGTCCTATCTTCTCCTATATATTGATATACCATTTCTAAATAAAATCGCAAATTCTCAATGTTCAAAATTATAATATGGACAAAAATCCATGAATTCAATTGCTATATATGATAAATTAGTAACTAACCAGTTGAGACACCACAGCTCAAGAGGCTCATTTGCTTGAGAGGAGCATTAGGATCGATCTTGACGACACAAGCCGAGTCCAAGACGGTGTATTCGGTGAACGTGGAGGTGTTAAGGAAATGATATATGGGTTGGCTCTGGCTTGAGCGACCGTCCTTGTCTGTTGTGGTTGAGAATCTCGTCCCTCCATCACTCACCATCACTCTCTTCATAGGATCCACATGATATCGCTCACATAGATTACTCTCTTCTCTCTTACACACTTTACATTCACCACATTCTCCATTGAAAGTCGGAATCACATAGTCTCCTTCTTTCACATCTTTTACTCCTTCTCCAACACTCTCTACAATCCTATTAAATTAACATATACACGAAACACAGAAAACATGTTTAGTTAGCGACACTAGTAGGTGGTTATAAAAGAGTTTAGATATTGGGATATACCCGACAGCTTCATGACCAAGAATCCTTGGAAATGCTCGTTCAGCTTCGTTCTTTTTACACACCGAAAAACGATATTTTTGATTATATTGTAATCAAGAAAGAATGCAAGTTTTGTACTGATTGGAATATAAATGCATATGAGTACCGTGCCGTTCCAACATCCGAGATCGGTGTGGCAAATGGAAGAGTAAAGGATTTTGAGCCGGACTTCCATTTTCTGAGGAGGATCCACACATATTTCTTGTATTACAAGCGGTTCTTTTGGACCCCATACGACAGCAGCTACATGTACCACATACATTCAGCATTACTATCATAATCATCATCATGCATCAACATCATATCTCATTGGTGAGTAATTACTTACCTTTGCAAGTGATGACCTTCCCTTGAGTCTCTGCCATGTTCTTGATGTTTCTTTTTTATTAGATTTGTCTTTTATGAATGTAGCTCTCTATATATATACAGAATTCAGATCTATATATGTCTAAATATAGTGAGGATATTGAGTCACATGTATAAATATCCAAATCGAGTCAATAATCCCGAGAGAGGTGGCTTTGATAAGATTGATATGACCAATCTCTTTACATAAAACCATTATAATGCTAATCTCAATGCCAATTAAAGACCGAATTAAGCGATGGTATATTAAATTTTGTTTGTGCTCCAACTAACTTATATTTCATGCAGAAATTAAAACTACTATCTTCACATAAGATTTTTGTGAAACTCTTAGCATTGAATACTGTCATTGAATACCGCCTATCTTCGTGATTTACACGGCGTCACGTCAAATTTATGTACATTGTTGTAAGAATATTTTGTGTTTTAAACGTCAATGAAACTGTATAGATTTTCATAAATATAAAATACAATAATTGCAAATTTGTTAATGTATGGTGGAGAAAATAAGTGGTAGGTTTTTGCGGGGACTACTTTACTTGATATTAAATGGCTTTCAATGGCAGAGCAATCACAAAATGGACAGAGTCTGGTGACAGAAGTGACAAGAAATTGGTGATGATGTGTAATGTATGTGCACCAACAGCTAAAACCATTAAACTCGTGTGTGGTTGCAATGTAATATTGGGATTAGAATCAAAGATGTACACTCGGCGCATAAAACAGTTAAATTTTGGCTCGAATGCTTTAAATCATCTTCAATGTATTCCTCTATTTTTAATCTTATCATTTACTCTATTTTAGAATAATTGCGAGAAATTCCTTGCTAAAAAGCATGTCCACCTCATGAATTTGTTAAATATTTGACCAAAACTTAAATATTTGGTGTGAAATCTAAATACATATATAGAACTTAAACAATCTTTCATGCGATAAAAAGTAAAAGCTCATTTTATTAAATTTATTTATTTATTTCAGTCTCAGAAACCAAGACATAAATAATTGAAAAGGAAGGATTAAAATAGAAATAGAAATGGTCTCTGTTAATGTGGAGAAACACATTTTGCATGGATCTTCTAACTAACCGTAGGAGTAGCGAAATTAATATGAGCATCGGTCATAGGAGTTAAGAAGCCAAGACTTGTGAGTTTTTTTTTTTTTTTTTTGTCAACCACACATTAATTAAAAAATAACTCTTTGATTGGTTGTCCAATTAGGAGAAGAAGAGTTTACAAAAGTAACTTTAAAAAATAAAAGTCTAGAAGAACGGGCTAAGCAGTCCGCTTGAACATTATATAAACGAGAAATAAGAGAAAACGAGAAGAAAGGGAAAGAGACACGGAGGAAACCAAACTCGTCTAGCAGATTGGAAAAAGCAGGCCATTCATCCGGTGACTGTATCATCGAGACTAACTCCGAGCAGACTTGTGAGTTTTTGAACACCGTAATTGGATCTTACCGTCAAATACGCACATTTCTCTAGGTTTGTTAGTCTTTTAAAAGTTTAATAAGCTCAAAATATCACAAATTCTAACAATCTAGAAAAATATTAGAGATTGTTTAATGATTCGCTGAATTTTTGGTTCATCCAGCTAAATCACAAATCATAGTATTGATTTTCTTTCAACATACGCATTTATATATTAAGAAATTAAACAGGTTTGATGCATTCAACACCTAACACATTCAACATCCAAATAGTTTTGGGGTTGGGAAGATTAGGACATAAGCACGAATGTCCTAGGGGAATTAGCCGACACCACCAAAGAAACAACAAAAACTTGATTTAAAACAAGATTTACGAAGAAGAAATTATATCAAAGTTTTTTTTAAAAAATGATCACTTTGTTACTTTTATTTTCAATATAATACTAACAATAATTTGTTTTTATTAGTTAGTGCTTCTAACCATTTTCCTAATATAATCAAAATGATTTTACATTTTGTTTTAATAATACATAAAATCACATTAGGAATTTATAATACTCAAATTGGATATTTGGCCCTATTCAATTAATTTCAATTTTTGTTTATAATATCTACATAGAAAAATATAAAATAAGATTGGATTGCTTACTGACCGAAACGATCTAAGTAGGTGAACTGGAATAGTACAATATTTAAAACGATCGATGTCTTGTATCTATCTCAATAATATTTGGATGAATACTTGAAAATAAAATCTCATTCATAATTAATTGTCAAAGAGAAAAAAAATTCTCATAAAAAAAGATAAATTCTCGTTTCATCAATTTCCTAAAAAACAAAAGTCACAGTACAAAGTAAAAAAAAATCTTGAAATGCACAAACATTGAGTAATCGTTGTACCTAGACCGCATTTCGTACTTCATGACGTCACAAATTCAGAAAACCACCAAACCCTTTCCTTCTTTTTAATTATTCTCTCGGAATTTCCCAAAGTTGACTTTTTAGACATTAAGAACTGACAAAACAGCTGTACTAAGTTGACTTGTTTTTTATCTACATACTCCTACACAACACAACAGTTCGGACAAAACTAAGAACATCAAATTTGATTCAAACTCTTTTTGTCATAAAATCATTTTTTTTCCGACCCCAAATAAATAAAGAAATCATGTTTGACTTTCTTGATATCTTTTTCTCTTAACAGATAGTATATAAAAATTCTCTACGAGGTTTTTTTTTACCCAAAAGATTCTCAGATAACGGAAGAAGAAAGAAGCATCATCAGATCCCAGAGTTACATTTTCGAAAACAAGAGATGAGAGATGCAGACAAACATCTTTACATGTCTGTGTATGCTGTTTTTAGACGAGACAGCGATATATATATTGAGACATGAGATATGTGAAAACTTGTAAGCTAAGATCAATGCATTGGATGCCTCGGTGATCTCGGACGAACAGGCGTCTTTGAAGGACTCACCCTGCGAAAACCTCGTCACAAACACGAAAAATAGATTGAATTGTGTAGCGATGATCGTTTTGTTTCACTGACCTTATCGGTAAAGAACCAAGAACAACTCCACTGCAGTTGAGAGCCGCTATTGCGCTTTCTGCCTATGAAGATATAAACGATAGATTACTCAGAATATGACTCAAAGAAATCAAAGAATCGTGCAGAGGTGTATCCGATGTTTACCATTACGAACTCTACAAAAGCAATACGAGTTGAGTGTTGGTAATCTCCAAGCAGCCTCAGGCGATAAACCTGTATTAACAACACCTAATCAGTGAACTACTGTACAAACGAATAACAATTTTGTTGCATTTTTAGAAACTACAAGATTTGTTCACCTCTCCGCAGAAGGATTCGAAGAAGATCTTCACATCTGATTGAGTCACCTGTAAGCAATTTTTACACGTGTGAAAGGGAGACACTTCATCAGTTAAGGTTAGATAAGAGAAACGATTCGAGGGAGTCACCTTCTTGTCAATGTTAGTACAGTAGATAGTTCTCGCACACATCTCACGCTCATCTTCAGTCTGCAAAAGACACGGCTAAATCATTTTCCGAGTCGCAAACCACCAGAAACTTTGCATAGTAGAAGAAAATCTCACCCTGGGCAAAAATGTCGGGTTAACCGGTGCTATAGCTGTTTTGGATGGCAGAACTTTCACAGGATAAAATCCCAACATAGTCCCCGATAAATTCAGAGCAGTCATTGCACCCTCTGAAAAAAAACCAAATTGCCAACACAAGACAACACTTAACCACTGTAGTACACTGATGATACTCCAAAACCGACATAATTCATGAAATAATACCTTCATCAGTGAACTCGATGAATGCAAACCGAAGCACTGAGTTTGGGTCACCGCATATGCGACAGTCAACAACCTGCAAAAATTAAACACAGTTAAAGCACACAAGCAAACACAAAGATAGAGTTTATCGATGAGAGCCTCAAGGAAATATTTTCAACCTGTCCACAGCTCACAAACAAACCAGCAAGCTGCTCTTCAGTGACCTATAACACCCAAAACACACTGAAAAAGTCAAGATCAAAATTCTTGTTGATCGAAGAAGAGAGAAAAGGAGCAACTTTTCAACCTGTTGATCGAGATCAGAGACATAGACGGTTCTACGGATAACATCTTCTCGTTGAGCCATGCTTGTTCGAGCATTCATCCTTCGTTTCCCTTGACCAAAGCTCTTCTTCTACATCACACACACAACATACACATACACACACACAATCAACACGAATGATATGGATATATAGTAGTCTCATTAAGCAAAATTAAAACTTTCAAATGTACAATCTTTCTATTTCAATGATCTCCAACGAAAATGAAACACAACTTTGATCCAAAGCTATGAATCCTAGACTAAACAAAACAACAACAAAATCCTTTGAGAAAACCATCAATTAACAAAAACCCAAAGACAATTCAGTGAAATGAAACCTCAATTCACCCAAAGATCACAACTATGAATAGGACAATCGACGAAAACCAGTGTCTCTTACCCGTCGAAAACCACCGTTTTCATTACCGTAGCCACCATTTCCAGTACCAGAGAAGCCATTGTTACGGAAGAAGGAACCAGCAGAAGTGAAGAAACCACCATTAACACCGTTAAGTCCACCGTTACCTCCTTGTTTAGTCAGAGAAGGAGGAACAAACTCTTCAGCCATAGGATTAAGCTTAGAGAAAAGCTCCTGAAGCTCTCTCATATCACGCTTAAAGCTCTCACCACCGTCAACGCCGTCGGATCTCGCCACGTGTGACCCGATCTTGCTATACAGACCAACACCACCTTGATCGTGCCGAAGAACTTGATCGATCCTAGAGTGATGGTTCTGATCATCGGAAGAAACGCCGGAATCTTGACTTGTCATTGAAGAAGGTGGAGAAGACGGCGGCGGCTGGATCACGACTCCACCTGCATCAGCAGCAGTAGCAGCTGCTCCAGTCTCAACAACCGCCATGATCAGAGAGAAACCCAGATATCAAAATCGGAAATTTAAGGATAATTGAGAAGGAATCGGCCGATCGGGTTTATGATTTGAGGAAGAAAAAGAAAGGAATCAGCATAAGGTGCTCTCGAGGAAGAAGAAGAAGAATGAGAAGAGAGAGAAAAAGGAAATAAAGAGAGGATTAAAGAGTGATTAATCAGAAGATCGGTGATAATTAATGGTATTTGATCAGAATGATTAAGTAAGGATTCGTTCAGAAACCAAACTGGTAATGAGTTTAACTTCAATTTTTGTGTTTTTAACTGCGGTGAAAAAATGAGTGTGATTGGATAACGTAGAATCCGACCGTACCGGAGAGTGGAGTGTTTGGTCTCTTTTATTAGTCTATTCTTGGACTCAACTACATTGTAGGGAGTCCAGAGTAGAGAGTCCACGGTAGAGAGTAGAGACACCTTAAATCTGTGTGTATATTTTATGATTGAGATAAAAAAAAAACATTTCTCGAAATTATCTGTTTAATTAATTTTTTTTTATCATAAATACTATTGATTTGATTTATCCTTAATAGATATTTTTTAAAACTGAAAAAAACGAAAACCAAAAAATACGGATTTATGTAAAAATATATAATACAATAGAAAAATATGATGGTAAAGAATGAGGATACACTAATATTTGATTAGAGATATTAATAACAGATGTTAGTACATAATATAAGTTTAATTGGGTAAAAATAGCGGTATTTTATTATATATAAAACTTGATTTTTAAAATTGTTAACTACATAATCATAATAGGTGTTAAGTCTATTGATAAGATTTTGATTTGTGAAAAAAACTTCAATTAATTAAATTTAGATACTCACTCCATATCATTTTAGTGATATTTTTTTTAAAAAAAATTTGTTTCATTTTAATTTTTAAGTGATGTTTTCAACTTTCTATGTAAAATTAAATGTATTTCATATTTTCTTACAAATGATATTTGACTGTATACAGACATACAGACATGTAAATATGTTTTTCTGCATCTCTCATCTGTTGTTTTCGAAATGTAACTCTAGGATCTGATGATGCTTTCTTCTTCTTCCGTTATCTGAGAATCTTTTGGGTTAAAAAAACCCCTAGAGAGTTTTTATTTATCAATAACATCTTTGCTAAGGAACCTTCTTTAAGAAAACTATCAGGGATTTTAAGACTCAATTCCCAATGATGTATTTGAGACAATTTTACTTGGGAATGCATTCAAGGAGAAGTCTTTCCCCAACCAAATACCAGCCCAAAAATCCTTCGCCCAATACTTTTGGTGACCTTAGTAGTTAATCCAGACTTCGTGAGGTTTACATTGAGTCTTAAAATGGTCATTAAATCTATGGTTATAGATACATGTGTGTGGTTATATACACAAATATATATTGTTTAAAGGAAAAATATCAAAAAAAATTTCAACGGTAATAAAATGCCAAACAAAGGTCCAACTTTGGCTCATGTAAAATAATTTGCTAACTTTATTGACTTTTCATTTTAATTGTTATTTTTGTTGATTTTTCATTTTATACTATAAAAAGATGATTTGCCTTCAATCCACATAATGTCAAAAACCAATTTTAGTTTACAAGATTTGGCGAGACTAATGTTTCCTTCAAACCTCACGGGCTTTTCATCCTTACTATCCATTTGTTTTCGTCTTTTTTTTAACCCTCACCAATTTAACCCTATCATCTTCTTTCTTAAACTAGTGTACATCTTATTCTCTATCTCCATTGTTTTCTTTAGATTTTAAACATTTTTTTACCGGTCTAATTAGATCATTGCGCCTTAAGTCAAATCGTTCCTATTTTGCACTTAACTTACATATCTACTAGTGAAGTTTGGGATGCAGTGTTGAATTGCTTATGTTTCTTAGCAATTTGACTAACTATTCCGCTTTCTACCGCCTTCAAATTCGTTTCTTTTGAATCACTTTTGAAAATGGAGTTCTTTTAGAGCAATATAATAAAATCTGCTAAATGCTAATAATGTGGAGCAGTGTACAATGAATATGGTCCTAAGTCCTAATCAACACTCCTAACAGGCTAATATTAGTATAATCCAAGTCAAAGGAAGTTTCATAAGTTGGAATAAACAACATATTAAATGGGTCTGAGCCCGGCCCATAATTACATAAAGCCCAAAAAGAGCTCGACGGACTTGAGACGGTAAATTAATTTTGTTAATTGCCAGCGACGGACTTCAAACGGAAAATTTTGTTATAGCTTCTTCTTGTTCAGTTCCGCTTCCGACAATCAAACACCACTTCTTGAGAATCTCTGTTTCAGCTTCTCTGTTACTGACGCAACTGGAGATGCATAAGTCGAGTTCTTGTTTCTGTTCAGAATCTGAAGTCTAATTTCTTCAGGTGATACGGTTCTTGTTCTTGAAATCCTGAGCTCTTACGTTTTCGAATTTGAGAAATATGCTTTGATTTCTAGGGTTTGTTAGAATTGACGAATTGGGTTGTTATAAAAATAGGGTTTTTTTAGTTTCGTTTCATGGTTTCGTAGTTTTAGGCTAAGAATTAAAGAATTGGGGGTTAGGGTTTTGTTAGATTAGAGTTTGCGAGATGAGAGGAAGATCGTATCGGTTTTCGAGTACGGATCCTCATGAGGATTGGGGTAATGAACTTTGGACTGTGGATTGTGTTTGTGGTGTGAATGACGATGATGGAACAGAGATGGTTAAATGTGATGATTGTGGTGTTTGGGTTCATACTCGTTGTTCTCGTTTTGTTAAAGAAGAAGAGCTTTTTACTTGTGATAAGTGTAAGAGCAAGAACAATGTTAATGATAGTGAGGAGACTGAGGTTGCTCAGTTGTTGGTTGAGTTGCCTACTAAGACGTTGAGAATGGAGAATTCGTGTACTCGGGGTGTTCCGCCGAAGCGTCCCTTTAGGTTATGGACTGAGATCCCGACCGAGGAAAAGGTTCATGTGCAAGGAATCCCGGGTGGGGATCCGGCTCTTTTTGAAGGGTTGTCGTCGGTTTTCTCCCGGGAGCTGTGGAAGTGTACTGGTTATGTGCCGAAGAAGTTTAACTTTAAGTATAGAGAGTTTCCTTGCTGGGATGAGCAAGAGAAGGATGAGATTGAAAATGACGGTGCAGGGGTTTTGTTTTCTATGTCGAAGGATAATGTGATTGCTGCTCCTGTGAGTGCTTTGGTTGGAATGAAGAGCCTAGATGGTAAAGGAACCAATGATTTGAAGCTTGGTTGTGCAAAAGACGGCAATAGTTGGGACTCTGGCGAAACGGATAGAAAACATTCTCAGGGTTCCATGAAGAAGAATAAGAGGTTGCTTCGTCCTATGATCACGAATAAACGAAGAAAAGAATTGTTTGGAGCTTCAAAAGAGCGGATGAAGAAGAAGGTTGAAGTTGCAGACAAAGAAGAAGATGATAAGAAAGGTTTTGTCGGTAAAACAGGTCAGTGAAACCACTCTTTGGACCTTATGACGCTATAAGCAGACTTTAATTTGCCATTATGTGCTTCACTTCTAGAATCTTATTTTTGTTTTTTTCAAATTACTAGGAATTCGACCTGCTAGTGATTCTAAACCATCAGAATCTCGTAAGGACATAGAAGCAGAAGGTTTTACAAGCGACATTGGGATCACGAAGAGTGTTAAGGCCAAGAAAGCTGCTTTTGAGGAATCTAATAGTGGTGGCCTTGCTCTGGAAACTGGCGGTGATGAATCTGGTAATACAGAAATTGGTGTTGAATGCTCCAGAGAACAGAATCTTTCTGACGTTCATGCCAATGGTGCTGGAAAACAGGAAGAGAAAGCTGGTCATCATTTTCGAATTGTGCTTAAGAGCTCTGCATCTACTGATCCTTCTGTCCTCGGAGGAAAAGATGTTCCACACAATGAGGCTAATAAGGAGGAGGAGGTATGTCTTAGATTGGCTAATACTTATAGTAATATGAATACCTTTGAATAATTCTTGGTTAGATCGATATTATAATATTGTTAGGGGTTCATCTTGCAACAAATATTGAAGTTCTTTCAATAATTATCATCAAGTTGGTATAGGTCAAACCAATTTGATCTCTTGAATATACATGCTCTCCTAGAAAAGGCTTAAAATTGGAGCTGTACTGAGTTGTTGTATGAATAATTTGCGGTAGTAATAGGGAAGCTTAAGTAGCAAGAAGTGCCTTGATTTTATCAAATAAAAAGATTTGATGTCTTGTAGACTGTAACAACTGTTTGAATTGGCATAGGGTAAATTTGGTTTAGGAAAATTGGTTTCTTTTTGTACTTTTGTTGAAAGGATTTTACTCTTGCTTAAGAAAACAATGGGGAAGCAACTGATAATTTGTTTGCTACACTAACAATGGCGATTTACTTATTTTACAGAGACAAGGCACCGTAGCTGACGTTCCGGAAGATAATGCAGTTGATTCTTCTGAAAGTTCCCGGAAGCCTTCTCCTGTTTCCACGGTTGGTAAAACGCGAGAAGGTGAAGAAAAAACACACAGTGGGAAAGTCAGTTCTAGAAAGAACAAATTCCAAAAAGAAACAGCTGATACTGGTGCCAGTGGACCTGTACGCCTGCAGACTCTAGACCCTATGGATTCTAAAGTGTCAGGGAGCTCTGTATCTCAGATCTCTGGAGCTTCTGAATTTAACAAAATGACTCCGAGCAGTTCACTTCCTGATGATCACAAACCGCAGCCTGTTGATGTGGTATCAGAAGGAATAAGTAGTGGCAATAGAAACAAAGCTATGGAATTAAAACGAGAACTGGTGGTTTCGGAAGCAGAAAAAGATAATCTGGAAACAAAGCCTGAATCTGGTTTATTTCAAGAGCCATCAAAGCCTTTCAGACCTATTCCCCACACTGTTTCAGGAAATGGTAGGCCTAAGATGGTAGTATGCATTGGAAAAACATCGTCAAGTTCAGCCACGGAAAAGTCTTCCCGCTCGAAGCAACAACCATGTGATGATGCTGATGCTAATACCAATGATGAGGACTGTGTTTCCAGTGATGTGATCCGAGAGAGAGATGGGGATGATGAACCTTCAGAGAAAGCTCCGAAACATCCTAAATTTTCTATTACCTCTAAGAAATCGATGCAGCATAATCGTACTTCCCATTCTTCAGTTTCCAAGACTAGAGAGTCTTCCTCTGCTTCAAAGTCATCTTCAGCAGCTCGGATTAATGGTGGTTCTTCCGAGGCTCCTAGTAAACATTCGCTTTCAGGGACCTTCCCGAAAAATGAAAAGCCTGGACAATCAATATTCCAGTCATCAACAAAGAACCCTGTGCAGTCTATAATTTCCCTTGCTCCAAATCTGAGCGATGAAGAGGTGTGTGAGATGGAATTCTTTCTCTTTTTGTTTGTCTTCCCTATTCTTCTACTGTTTGACAGGTTTTGTTTGTTCCATTAATGACCAGCTTGCATTAAGACTGCACCATCAACTCAATAGCTCTCCGCGAGTTCCTCGTGTCCCACGCCTGAGACAGCCTGGTAGCTTGCCCCTGTCTCCAACCGCTCCTAGTTTTAAACGCACTTCTAGTTCTGGTAGCAAGGATCACACAACGGTATCATATAAATTCTATCTTATCTTTTAGCTAATGCTCTCTTTTAGGCTCAAGCTTGTTGGCTGATTATGTATCTATTTGGCTAGTTTTCCAGAAGGAAAAACAAGGATGCATCCAAAGAAGGTTACCGCAATTTACGTGATGATGATAGATGCAGTACAAGGAGTGCCAAAACACGTCGCTCTCCTGATAGGAGGACACAACAAGACAGTGGAAGCAGAGGAGGGAGTCTGTGTTCCAAAGGGGAAGAAAATGAAACCCCCAAAACCTCTTCTTACTCCTCTCGGAAAGTACTTCTCCCGCCAAACTCGACTACAAGCACAAGCAGCGGACCGTGTTCGTCGAGCGAGTTGAATGAGCATAATAAGCCTTCTCCACACAGTTCCCCTAGGAATAATGGTACTCCAGTACATCGAACTTTGCCAGGCTTAATCAATGAAATCATGAGCAAAGGCAAGAGGATGGCATATGAGGAGCTCTGTAACGCAGTCTTGCCGGTATTATTACCCTCCTTACCAAATATATTTCTGATCTCAGACATATCATCCTCTAGGTCATAGATTAGCTGTTCTAATGTGTTGTGTTGGTCTCGTTCTTGTAGCACTGGCCTCACTTGAGGAAACACAACGGAGAACGATATGCATATTCAAGCCATTCACAGGCTGTTCTTGATTGCCTGAGGAATAGGCATGAGTGGGCTCGTCTGGTTGATCGTGGCCCCAAGGTTTTTTTGACTAACCAACCCTACATATGTTTCTTTTCTGTTGTCTTCAACATATAACCTATAAGAAAAATGATCTTAATATTTGCGGTTGTTTCAGACTAATTCAGGGAAAAAGAAACGGAAGCTCGATGCAGCAGAGGAGGAGTCAGATGAGAACGAAAGCAGTAAGGGAGGAAGGAAGAGACTGCATCAACATCACTCTCAAGGAGAAGAGTTTCCCAAAGGAAAAAGGAAAGCAAGAAAACGGAGAAGGCTCTCTCTTCAAAGAAAAGGCATTAAAGTGTTGAGAAAAAAGAGAAACCAAGAAGAAGACGAGGTAAGCGAAGAAGACGAGGAAGGTGCGTTCTCGGACACAAGTGACGAGAGCATCTTCTGCGAAGAAGACGAAGAAGAAGAAGAGGGCCACACTACTGCTACTGGTACTGGACAAGTCTCTGCTAGTAGCTCTGAGGAAGCTCAAGCCACTTCATGAGCCTCCTCTCTCTTCTCTCTATGTAATATATAGAAAGTATATGTGTATGCATTATGTAGCTCTCTGTATTTTACCAAAAAGCTTTTTTCTCAGTAGACAATACTAATAATTTAAGTTTGTCTAGAAGGACATATTGGGAATGGGATGATCTTTTTGTGAGCTTGTATTTATGTTTTTGTGGTATAATATAAGTTAGGAACAAAAAAATCTAATTTGATATTTGTTTTCTTCCATGATACTTTGCTATATAGGTTTAACTCTTTAAAGAAAAAATGGTTGAAAGGAATAATATTTTCACTGTTTATGATTCCATCTAAAATGAGAGTAAAATTCATGATTATTGTTTTGGCAGTTCTATTTAAATGAGAAATTAGTTTTATATACTTCTGATTTGCAAATTCTTTTCCTATTGGTCATATTTCTTTTGATATATATTATTTTGATGTAAACCAAACTCAGTCCCTAACCAACACAGAGACCAAAGAGAATGTCACTGCCTATGTGGACACTACATCTTGTGAAAATACAATGGAAGCTCCTGACAATGGTTGCGGCAATATATCGAATTTACCGGTTAAGTACTATCACTACTACTGCGGGAGCACCTTCAATATTTGTGAGCTGTAATAATGTTTTGTGGCATGATATAAAGTTAGAGGAACAAAGAATCTAACTTGATGATGTATGCTTCTTATTGTCTTCTTGAAAATAAAGACTTTTAAGATTCAATTTAAATGATTGATCATATATAATATCTTAGTTCGTGCTATTAGCATTTAAAAGGACTTCTTTTGAAAGTAAATGACAATGATATGCAGTTTCTAAGATAGAAAAATATATATATTATTATATCTAACAAAGACATCTTTTTCACTAAATCAAAGACAATTTATATATTTAACAGAAATAAGCCAATTGTAGAAAAAGTTTATTATCCATATTCCTCTTCTTGCCTCTGCAAACTTCCAAAAGAGATAGGAGGAAATATTCTTAAAATGCAATTTTCTAACAAGGTAATATATCTATCTTTCATGAAAAAAAACTACCATTTTTATTACTGAAAAAAAAATGAAAAAGTGTCAAATTTTTTATAGGATGAAATTTTATTTACGCAAACTAAATAGGAAAACTTAGAAGAAAAGGCAAATAATAATATACTTTGCTTTACAAATGTTAATTCTTTAAAGGGAAAAAAATCTGGTAAGGAATATAATTCTCAACTGTTTATAATTCCATCCAAATCTAGTAATATTCATTTTTTTTTAATATATAAAAAGATAAAAATGTTAAAGTAAGAAATAAAAATCAAAGCATAGAGACATTAATATGAATATATATATTTGTTAAAAAAATAATAATAAAAAAATGAATGAGAATGGCCGTTGTTTAGTGAAGACGATCAAAAGACATAAAAGGGATCGTCGTCGTTTCTCTTCTTATCATCTCTGCCGATTTCTCTCCGCCGTGGTCCGATTTCTCTCTCTTTTCCTCCAATCTAGAGTCTCTCCGATTTGACAATTTTTCTCTTTCTAATCATTCTTCTTTGTCGTCGTCGTCGTCTTTCACAGAGGAAAAACTGCTTATCTCGATTTCGGTTTCCTTCAATTTCTCGAATTTGTTCTGTTTCTTCCGATTCCACTGTACGTTGACATATTCCCGATTGGCAAATTTTGAATCGTCATTGACTTTTTTTTTTTGGTTTGACGGATCTTGATTTTGTTTTTGTAGTTTGATTCGGATACGATGACAATCCCTGATTCTGAATCCACCGGAGTTTGTGAAGTTCCTTATTCTCCTGAGGAAGAGAGACGTATTGTGACGGAGCTTAATAACGAAGCAGAGGCTGATTTGAAAGAGGGAAACTTGTACTTCGTTATCTCAAACAGGTCTCTTTCTTCTACATTGCGATCCTTTGTCCTAGTTTTGGCCAATTCAGATGCATATAGTTTCTTTCTTAGTACTTGTATGATTACTTTGATTTTACTTTAGCATATCATCGGCTCATGATTTTCGGCAGGATCATGAATGATCTTTATTTCTTGGTTCTTGTCAGAAGATTGGTGAGTTTCTTTAGCTTCTTGTACAAGTAGCATTTAACGTGTGTATGTTAATTGACTGAGATCAGATCGATCACTGTTTTTTGTCTTAGTGTTAGACAATGTGTTTGGATTTTCAACTGTTGCAATTTTTTGGTCCATGACTCTGGAATTTCGTCAGAGGTTTTGAATAGATGTTATAGTGATAGAATGTTTGTAGTCATCTGAAGTTTGGATTTTGTGTTTTCTTTCTCGGTGTTGTTATGCATCATATATCCTTATCCCAGTTTTATCTGTTATTGCAGGTGGTATACAAGGTGGCAGAGATTTGTTGGGCTAGTAACAGAAGAATTTCCTAGTGGAGAGACTTCAGAAGTTACCAGGCCTGGTCCAATTGATAATCATGATATAATTGATAGTGAAAGTGATGCTAGTGATCCGCAGCTTCGTATGATGCTGGAGGAAGGGGTCGACTATACTCTAGTTCCTCATGAAGTTTGGATAAAACTCGTTGAATGGTGATTGTTTTCCTCTGTCCTACATATTAACAGAATAGTAAACTTTGTGTTATGAATCACCAGTTTATTGGGTTTTTGTTTTGAATGATGACACGACCAAACGTTCTCCTCTTACATCTACTGTTGAGGGATGCTTTCAATGGGCTAATTTTCTTCTATTTCTCTCAGGTATAAAGGAGGTCCTCCATTACCGAGGAAGTTGATCTCTCAAGGATTTTACACTAAGAGCTTTAGTGTGGAGGTGTACCCACTCTGTCTTCAGTTGACAGATAGTAGAGACGAAAGCACTACCATCATAAGGTTGAGCAAACAGGTACGATGCCCCCTCCGTACTACCTTGCATATGTATTTTAGGCTGTGAACAACTATAGACCATTTGGAGTGTTTATGAAAAGGGAAAGACTGTGCGATAATTGTTCCCATCTGACATGGATTGTTGATGTTCCAGGCTTCTATAGGTCAACTTTATGAGATGGTTTGTGCTGGAAAAGGGGTAGCAAAAGAAAAGGTGTCTGCTCGAAAGCTTTTTCTTTCTTCTTTGTCTTAGGCGATGATGATATACTTCAATTTTTGATTCAAAGATGTACTGGTTGCTCAATATTTGATTTTGTATAAGCAGGCTCGCATCTGGGATTACTTTGAGAAGAAGAAAAGCGTTCTATTGGATCCTTCATCTGAAAAAAGCGTGGAAGAATCAGGCCTTCAACTAAACCAGGATGTAAGTGTGACTTGAAAACTCTCTCAGTTACATGACAGCTTTTGATGGATTGCCTTTTTCTCTTACTTTATTATTGTTTATACATAAAAGGTCACTGTGAAGTTTTTTTCTCATGAACTTTTTATTGGCTGAAACTCCTTGGATTGATGCTTTTTGCCGTTGATCTACGTTTGCTCTCAATATGTCTGTTGAATTATTTTGTGCTTTTGAGCTCTTAAATTGTCACTGAACCAACATCTCATTTTCGCTAGCCTTTATGTACCATAATTATATCTGTTTGGCATTGATGTGTGCAGATTCTTCTTGATGTTGATGGTTCTGCATCTTCTCAATGTGACATGAGCTTGGCCGGAAATGAATTAGCTCTGGTACCTCTAGAGCCTACTAAGTCAGATGCTATGGATATTGTGCGTGGTGGGGGAACCTTATCTAATGGTCACTCCAACGGTTCCAAGTTTAGCCTCTTTGGGAGAAACGCTTTCGAAGATGATGTTTCTTCGAGTACTTTTGGGAAAGGAGAGAGGAGAGGTTTAGGAGGATTGCAGAATTTAGGAAATACATGCTTCATGAATAGTACTCTTCAGTGTTTGGCCCATACACCCCCTATTGTTGAATATTTTCTGCAAGATTACAGCTCCGACATAAATGCAGAGAATCCTTTGGGAATGCGTGTAAGAGCATGAGAGTTTTTGTCTTTGTGTATATTCTCCCATGTGAAGCCATTCCAACGAATCTATATATCTAATGCAGGGTGAGCTTGCAATTGCATTTGGTGAGCTGTTGAGGAAATTGTGGTCATCTGGACAGAATACAGTTGCGCCGCGCGCTTTTAAGACAAAATTGGCTCGATTTGCTCCACAATTTAGTGGTTATAATCAACATGATTCTCAAGTAAGTCACGTTCTCCAAAATGGTTTATGGTGCATGGTTAATTGTTGGAGCAAATCTGTTGTATCTCTTGGCTTTTTTACTTCCTCTCACATTAGGAAACTAGTGCCTTCTTTATCTCTTCATGTATGATATGTTAGCTCATTGTTTCCAGGAAATGCTTGCTTTCTTATTGGATGGGCTCCATGAAGACTTGAACAAGGTAAAACGCAAACCTTATATTGAAGCTAAAGATTCAGATGGTCGTCCAGATGATGAAGTAGCCGAAGAAAAGTGGAAATACCATAAGGCCCGCAATGACTCTGTGATAGTTGACGTCTGCCAAGTAAGTATTTGAGGTTACTTTTAACCTAAAAGTGTATTTGAAGTTACTGCCTCTTCTTTGTCTGTTCCGACCGTTCCTCATGATGTATGTGTTTTCGTTTCAGGGACAATACAAGTCAACACTGGTCTGTCCAGATTGTGGAAAAATCTCAATCACATTTGATCCCTTCATGTACTTATCTTTGCCGTTGCCATCAAGTCGCACTCGATCAATGACTGTTACAGTGTTTTATGGCGATGGAAGTCATCTTCCGATGCCGTACACTGTAACAGTTCCTAAAGATGGTTCTTGTAGAGATCTCAGTAATGCATTAGGCACTGCTTGCTGCTTGAACAATGACGAAAGCCTTTTACTTGCAGAGGTAACAATTTCAGCAAATCCTTTTACTTATATGTTTGTTGTCCTTAACATTTTTTAAAAATGACTCAACTAAACTGTGGTATAAATTCCCAGGTATATGACCACAAGGTCTTTAAATATTTTGAGAATCCCTTGGAGTTGCTGAATGGGATAAAAGACAATGAACGTATTGTGGCATATCGGTTCAACCAGATGCACAAAGGACCAGAAAAAGTCAAACTTGAAATTCTTCATGGGGAGCAGGAAAAGTCAGTTTGCTTACATTAAAATTTGCCATTCAAGAATTTTTCTTTTTCCTTCTTGAGTTCCGCTTCTAATGGATTAAAAATTTCACAGGTCTGATAGTGGCAGAGACCCAAAGCTTTTTGGAACTCCCCTTGTCACTTATATCAACAAAGAACCACTTAGTGGATCTGACATTGCTGCAAGCATCTCCGGATTGCTGTCACCTCTACGTCGGGTTCATATGTCATCCATAGTTCATAGTGGAAACGAGAATGGCCACGTTCCAGATGTTGCAGATGAATCATTGGGAAGTGTATCATCCAGAGACACTGAAACAGAGGATAATGCAAGTGATGATAGAGAATTATCCTTCAGCCTCTTGCCAGATTACCATTCTTTCAGTCTCCAGCCACTTGAGTCCGATTCCATTGTGAATCCTGGTAGTGTTACAAAGGTTCTAGTCAAGTGGAACGAGAAAGAGCATGAGAAATATGACTCCAGCTACTTGAATGATCTACCTGAGGTTCATAAATCAAGTTTCTTGGCAAAGAAGACAAGGCAAGAGGAAATATCTTTGTTTTCATGCTTGGAAGCTTTTCTAGCAGAAGAGCCTTTAGGACCAGATGATATGTGGTACTGTCCTGGTTGTAAAGAACATAGACAAGCGAACAAGAAGCTAGACTTGTGGAAGTTGCCGGATATTCTTGTGTTCCACCTGAAACGGTTCACGTATAGCAGATATTTCAAGAATAAGATTGATACATTAGTGAATTTCCCGATTCATGATCTAGATTTAAGCAAGTATGTGAAGAACAAAGACGGACAGTCATATCTTTACGAGCTGTATGCCATTAGCAATCATTATGGTGGCCTGGGAGGTGGTCACTACACTGCTTACGCTAAGGTTTGTGCCATTGAATTGGTTTTCTTGTTATCTATTTTGATTTTGCATTCCTAATGAGTCTAATTACAATTACATGGATCTAATATGTTGTTGTTTGCTTATGCAGTTGATGGATGAGAACAAATGGTATGATTTTGATGACAGCCGTGTTTCAGCCGTAAATGAATACGAGATCAAGACTCCGGCTGCTTACGTTTTGTTCTATCAAAGAGTGAAAAGTGAATCAGAGACATCGGATATGAAAGTGGATTAGTCAGAAAAGAAAAAGCCATTCTTTCTTTAGGATTCATGACAAAATTTATTTACTTGCTCAAGAGTCAAGATCCATTATTGATCTCATGCTCTAATATTTTCTTCTAAAGCTGATTGACTAATAGAGTTCAGATTCTAAAGATTGTTTTGTTAGGGTTATTATTCTTTTTTTCCCAGTGAGGGATAAATTTTGGACAGTGAGAAACATATTATACTAGGTGGGGAAGAAATTGGCTAATGTGTTAACAGTTTACAAAAAAAAAATTACATTATTAAAGGTAGTGATATTCACTTGGTTGCATGAGTTATATTCTATCAGATAGTGAGATTTGAATGAGAGAATCTAAAATTGCTGTGGATTAGTGGGGAAATAAACTCTTCATTTTTAGAAATTATGACAAAATTTACTTATTTTCTCAGGATGTATTAGTTGGTCTTCTGTTCTAATTTTTTTTCTAAACCCTAATAAAATTTTAGATTATATAGATTGTTTGATTAGGAAAAAATGTTTGTCAGCTACACCAACTATAATTCGTTACATAATTTACATATGCCAACTAAATTATAATGTATGTTATTACCAATGCCGAGATATATAAGCATGGCGACATGTACTAACAAATATATGTTATGTTGCCAATATTATAAACATTAATTCCTTCATTATTCTCATCTAACCCGTGACAGAATCCCTTAAATTTGGGTTTAAATCAATAAAATCAAATTAAAACCCACCGTTTTGTATGTTAACTATACTAAGTCTATCGATTCTTAGCTTATGATTAAAATCAAAATTAAAACCAACAAATTTTTCTTCTCTCTTAGCTACTTTTGGTTTTCTATCATTGAAAAGATTCATTTTCAAACACTTGAACATTGTTGTCAAACAACAATAGACGAGTGATCGCTGTCTATAAATAACTTTACTCTATTTATTTTATTGAATAGTAAGAAGAGAATTAAACCGAATGTGATCCTCATTCCTCACTAACATAATACGAGTATTATTGATTGGGAATATATAAATTAAATGTGATCCTCATACTACATAAGGTGCAAAATGAATTTCTAACATAAAGATTATAAGAGTAGAAAAAAAAAATAGCCGTGAAAATAGCGCAAGTAGACAGTATTTGGAATTTAAGAAGAATGCAAAAAGGCTTGGGGACAGCTTTTGCTTCTATAAGTTAACTCAAGTTTAAGTGTAATCAAAGTAAGTGTCTCGCCAGTAACATGCTCAATACCACCATTGACAATATTGCCCCTTTCCCTTTTCTTTTCCCCTGCAACAATTTCGCATAAAAGCATACTTATCATTTAACATTCAAAGATGAACTTGGAATTGATTAGATTAACCACAACAGAAGTTATTTCTTATCAATTCAATAACAATTTATATTATTTTAAAGCTACTTTTATGGAAAATGATAGGAGAAATGTGGTATCATATATAAATTTGGGTCATTATAATTAACTTAAAATATATCAAATAAAATTGATTTAAATCTCATTTTGTAGGAACTAACCATTTCTCCAAAAAAATTTGGTTTTGATTCTTAAAATGGAATAACTTTTAGTGCATAACAAAGTTATAACTTAAGGTTGAAAAAACGAATCTTATGCTTTACTTAAAAAAATAAAAACTTTAACGAAAAAGAAAATTCGAAGAATCTTACCGTTACTGGAGTAGCAGAAATTGCCAAATAACCAGTGGACGCACTATCCGGCGCCACCGGAGAAACCGGAAACACCGGCGTCTTTTCCCTTCCTCCACCGCTACTACTATTCCCACCACCACCACTAGCCCCTCTCACGACGTCGTTTAAAGCAAACCCAAGCGAATAAGCCTGAGTCCCATCAGGTTTAAACAACCCATAATTCCTCTCCGACGTCGGACCAGGTTTCAAATTCTCATTAAAAAGGGCAAAAACGTAAATACTAAGATCATTATTAGGCTTCAGGGGTGTTTTAGTCTTTTTACCACTCATCATCAACTTAATCAAGTTTCCGTTATACCTCTTCGCATTCTCCGGCGTAGCTCCAACCTCATCGTCGTCTCCTTTCGACGGCCATCCCGTCTCCGATATCTCAACTCTCAACGACTTATACCCCGCCGCCGCTAAAGCAGAGTACACGGCGTCGATTTGAGCGAACAACATGTTATCGTAGTGAAATCCGGTGGCCGGATCTACGATTCCTTGATTCGGTTGAAACAGAACAAAATCGAGAGGTACTTCTTTAGGGTTTCCTTTGTAAGCGAAGAAAGGATACGCGTTGATTAAGAACGGAGAATCAGTTTTCCGGTGGAATTCTAAGATCGGTGTTAGTGAATCGAGTAGATCTGGTTGAAACTCGCCGGCGGAAGGTGGGAATGAAGATTTGAGGATTGAGAGAGAATGTGCGGTGGTGACGGTTATTTGATCGGAGAGTCCGGCGGTTATTAAAGCAGAGTGAACTCCTTGCATCGCCGGGAGGAGATTGCTTGTGAGTGAAGAATCGTTGAGAGCGAGGATTTCGTTTCCGATGGTGATACAGGTGATGTTAGTCGCCGGTAAAAATGGAGTAACGTTTTGTTTGATCCATGTTAAGGCTTTTGAAGGATCTTTCATTTTGGAGAGATATTCGTTTCCAAGTCCGATGATGAATTGGATTCCGGTGTTGGAGAAAGCTTTGAGGATTTGTGGATTTGCGTCGTAGAGTTTTACTTTTGTTGCTCCGATTGATTTTATTAGTGGGATTACGTCGGTTGGTGATGGGAGGTTGTCTCCGATTTGACCGTAGTTTACTCCGATTGAAGTTATCTCCGCCGGAAGGATAAGTGTTACTGAGAGGAGGAATAAGAGAGAAGAGCGGTGGATGGTGGTAAGCTCCATTGTTGTGACGGATTCCGGCGAGAATGCCGGTGGTGGTGATGATGGAGTTGAAGCGAAGGAGACAATTGGAGAGGTTTGAGTTTTAATACAGTGAAGGTGGTCGGAAGATGAGGTAGTGATTCGTTATTTCGCTTACTATTATTTAATTATTAAAGTATTTGATTTGGGATATTTTTTGAGTCGGTAATTTAAGGATGGAATCTCGATGTAGTTTATGTATATATTTTAAAAATAATATTTGTAAAAAAAAAAAAAAAAAAAAAACTTCTTAAATCTCCAACAAAAAAAATTATAGACAAGAAGTAAACTACAAGACTACTCAATTATCATACACAATTTAAAGTAAAAAATAGGAATTATGTTTCAATGTTGAGGTGTCTAAGTAAAATACTTATAATGCATTCTCAGATACTTATTATAATGAACTTGTGTTTTGATTACAAGACAAAGGCATGAATATATTAGTATGTGTTTGCCCAAAAAAAAAAAGAATATATTATATGTTAAAAGAAAATAGAAACGAATGTAGAGAGAAGTAAAGAAAAAGAAAAGGAATGTAAAAAAGCAAGAAAACAAGCTTCACATGGAAGATTCATTCACTGATTGAAAATCTAGAAAAACTTAAAACCTTTTGAATTTTTATTTACTTTTGGGGAAACTGACAAAGGTTGATGAAAATATGCATCGGTTATATAATCAACGGTTCTGATCTGCTCTGAACTTTCTCTCATCTGACTTTGCGTGCCTTTCGCACCGGCATAGGTCGGCCGGCTCTACATTCATAACTGCATTTCTTACCAAGAAAGTAAGATATTTATGTATTTTCTTCTTTAATTAAGTAGTATTTTTTGTGACAAGTAAGATATTTATTGGGATATTTATTTGCTAATAATTAGATATTATTTTATATTTTTAGTTAATGATTTTTGTTTTTTGAGTTATTACATTCGGATAATAAAAATTTTGGTCTGTTAGGCAAAGAACATATTCTTCCATTATCCTTCTTTGGTGTAAGTTGTCGCCTTTACAACTCAAAAAACTTTAAAATAATAAAAATATACTTCTTTTAACGGTAAGTTTCTTCTGCATACATATTTTGTTGCGAAACTTTTATTAATTAGACAAAATAAATTTAACTTTATTTTTTAAATATACTGTAACTCCAAAATGTTTTTTTTTATATAAAGTTATCGTTTTTTTGTTTGTTTTTTTTTTTTGGTGTAAATTTTTGTTTGTTGGTTATATACATTCCGATTTCCCATCCAAATATTGGTGCATTTATGTTCAATAAACATATATTTTCCTAGAAAAATAATTGAACAAATATCAATATTCAGAAAATATGATTAGGAACGTAACTATAGATTTTGACATATAGCTGATTTTCTTGATTTGCAATCACATTTATGCAAATACTAGTTTATGACAAAGATAGCTTCTCCAAATGTCCTTTGTCCATCGTAATTCATACCAGTAGAGCATAACCTAATTCCACAAACCATTTCAAGTCTCAAGATAGAAGAATCTTAATATAAATAAGATAAACTCAATCCTTCTTTTTTTTGGTAAAAAAACTCAATCCTTCTTCACATCTCCTTCTTCTTTCTCTCCATCTCCTTCTATATTCTTCTCCGCTACTTTTGATTCTGCCGTAATCTCCTCCATATCACTACAATCTTCTGCAAAGAACATATCATCGATCAATAAACCGAATCTAACTTTCAAATGTACTCAAGACAAAACTTCTTCAATTTCTCAAAACAACACCAAATCATACACATGTCCAAATCCTTACCTTCATCCCCAATGCCATCAGTATCTCTCATGTTAAGACTCTAAAAAACAGAAAAGCAACAACACTACATTAGTTTCCATGACAAGTATTAGTAAATAGGTTCTTCTTTGAAACAAAATCATTGGTCTTACATTGAAATCGAAATCTCCAAAGTCCATATCCGCTCCTCCTCCTACAGGTAATAAATCAAAGATCAGTCAGCTAAGTTAAGATAACCAAAAGCTCTTCCACGGTTAAGTAATAATCATTCTTGTACCTTTATCTTCATCTTCATCAACCCATTTATCCCAATCAACTTTCAAGTAAACCGGAGATTTCCCTTCTTGCTTAATCAATCTGTTCCACCATTTACTCTCAGCTTTCTTCACCATGTAACATATACACCTCGAGCTCACACTCGCCTTGCTCTCCTGCCAAACCAATATCACCACCATCTCCAAAATCCACATTTGATTTACAAGAACACTTAAAAGAAGGTCGATCTTTGTACTTACATTCACATCAACACTGTCAAACAGATCAAGATCCACCTCGTACGGTGTCTTGCTATCTCCACTCGTAGCAGAGAAAAAGAACTTTCCTTGTGGCTCAAGCTTAAGCTTTACATCTTCAGCATCTGGTAACTCCACGGTTATGTAAACCTTATCAGACCTTTGCGCCCACTTAACCGTTGGATGTCTACTGAAAATTTCAAAACCAAAAACTCACTAAACTTATAAAGAAACCAAAACACTTTGCATGATCAAAAAGTATAAATTCCATAGCAAAACAACACTATAATTTCACGGAATATAGCTAAGAGTGAATGAATGAAGTTACCTCATTTTCAACGAGAAACAGAGTACCGAAGATACAAATTGTTCTGGAGAAGACAAATGTGATGTATAAAAATATACAGACCAAAGCTCTCTAGATACTTCTGTTGTGTTCTAGTCACTTGGAGAAATAAAGTGCAAATTTTATGGACATCTACAGAGAGATAAAAAGCCCAGTTTCTATAGGCCCATGAATTTATTATTACTGTCTAAAAATGAAATCGCGTGAATCTCACGCATTCTGCAATCAGTCACTTATCCTACGTGTCGTCTCGTGAAGCCAAACCTTCTTCTCCAAGGAAAAAACACCAATTAAATTAAATGAAAATATAAAAAAACTCCACAAAATAAGAACTCTTCTTCCATTTGGTACAAAAATCCAAACTTTTTAGGTTTTTTTTTCTTCTCTGAGACAAAAGTGATGGACTTGACGGTTGAGAACGGAGGTTTAGCACCAGGTTTTAGGTTTCATCCGACGGACGAAGAACTTGTGGTCTATTACCTCAAGAGAAAGATTCGTCGGAAAAAACTCAGAGTCGATGCTATCGGCGAGACTGATGTCTACAAGTTTGATCCTGAGGAATTGCCTGGTACCCTTCATTTCAATCTTCTCCTTTCTCTTCGATTCTTTCAAATTCATTTGCTTACGGTTTCATAAACAATTGGGTTGATTTGCTCTGTTTTCGATGAGTTTGTAGTTCAAGAATCTTGATTTTAGCCACTCAAGTTTCGATTTTTATCGGTTTCATTCATAGATTTCTCAATTTGAACTAGTATGATTGTTATATATATATGGTTGATGGATCTAAAGGTTTGTTTTTTCTTAGCTTCTGACTCGAAAAATGGGCTCTATTTTTATACAGAGAAAGCGTTATATAAGACTAGGGATCGACAATGGTTCTTTTTTAGCTTGAGAGATAGGAAACATGGAAGTAGGTCAAGTAGAGCTACTGACCGTGGCTATTGGAAAGCAACAGGGAAAGATAGAGTCATTAAGTGTGATTCTCGCAACGTTGGTGAGAAGAAGACGCTTGTTTTCCATAGAGGTAGGGCACCTAATGGCGAACGGACTAATTGGGTGATGCATGAGTATACATTGCACGAGGAGGAGCTCAAGAGGTGTGGTGGTGGTGATGTTAAGGATGCTTTTGTTCTTTACAAGATTTATAAGAAAAGTGGGTCTGGTCCTAAGAATGGTGAGCAATATGGAGCTCCTTTTATTGAAGAAGAATGGGCTGAAGATGATGATGATGTTGATGAGCCTGCTGGTTTAGTCGATGTTCCTAATAATCAGCTCGTAGTTTCAGCTGGTGTTGATAATAATTTATGGGGGAAAGGGCTTAACCAATCTGAATTGGATGATAATGATATTGAAGAGCTGATGAGACAGGTTAGAGATCAGCCTGGTCGAACAGTGCAGCAGAATGGGGTGTCCGGACTGAACTCTCATGTAGAAACATATGATGCGGTGAACCTGGAGGACGATATGTATTTGGAAATCGATGATCTTTTGCTCCCTGAACCTGAACCTGAACCAGCTTCTGTGGAAGTCATGGAGAAGAACTGGAACCAGGATGGTTCTGGTGTCCTGAATGATAATGATTTCGTTGATACCGATTCATATTTCCTTGATTTGGGAGCGACAAATCCTCAGTCAGATCCTGTCAGTGTTGGTTTGAAAAATGGGTTTGCACAAAGTCTTCAGATGAATAGTTCTTTGGTGACTGACCAGGCCAATAATAACCTGTTCCAGCAGCAAACAGGGAAGAACCAAGCTAGCAACTGGCCACTTCGTAACAGCTATACTAGAAAGATAAACAATGGATCATCGTGGATGCAGGAGTTAAACAATGATGGACTTACCGCTACCCGGTTTGGTGAGTCGCCTGGTAAAGGTACTTGAAAACATTAACAGATTTTCCTGGCTTCTCAGTATTTTGTATATACATCATTCGATTGCTCATATGTTGCAAGATTATTCTAACCATATTCCCTTGACAGGTGATTTATCTGAATTCGTAAACCCTCTTCCTTCTGGTATAAGTATAAATAAGGAAGATGAAGCGACAAAAGATGAGTCAAGTCAGTTTGCTTCTAGTGTATGGACTTTCCTGGAATCTATTCCTGCTAATCCAGCATATGCATCAGAGAATCCATTTGTTAAGCTGAACCTTGGCAGAATGTCAAGCAGTGGTGGTCGTTTCAGGTTTGCTTCTAAAAGCACAGGTAACAATGTTTTTGTCACAGCTAACGATTCAGCAGCAAAGAGCAAGAAGTCTGGAGGAAACAACGACAAGAAGAAGAACAACAAGGGTTTCTTTTGCTTATCGATCATTGGGGCTCTATGTGCTTTATTTTGGGTGATCATAGGAACCATGGGAGTTTCAGGGAGGTCTCTGTTGTGGTGAGAACCCAAAAGTCCAAGAGTTGTCGACATTAAGAGAAACAAAGGCTCAGTGTTAAAATAACGGTTTAGTGTGAGTCATTGTAATTATTCTCTTAGATTATTAGATTCAGAAACTGTTTGGTATCGGTTTTAGTCTTTGGGAGTTTTCTCTCGTATTGTTTAAAAGTTGTTTTATTTGTTGAGCGTTTTGATTTGTGTGGTTTCTTTTAACAAAGTTTTTTAATTTTTATTACTATATAAGTCTCTTAACATTTCCCATATACATTACCTTTCCTTAGACCTTTCCTACTCCTAACTTCCCAACGCTTTCTTCAACCACTTTGACACAAACAAAATCACATTCTCAGGGCGTCGCTACGTTCTCCTTCGCCAGAGGAGCTATCTCTTCACCCTCGATTCCGGCTTCACTTCCCGCCACATTAAGGGACAATAATACCTTCTCCCACAACCTCGCAGGTCCCTGCATCACATCAAATCAAGATTGATTTCAACAACTCAATATAAACAAAGTTTCAAACTTTTAGAATGAATTGAATCACTAGCTAACCTTCCAGGAGAAGTCTTGGTCCATGCAGTTCTTGACCATCTCTTTCATTGTGGATGCTCCATACACTGCAACGGCTCTCGTCACAGCCTTTGCTGTTGCAATCACATCATCTGGATCCACAACGTCACACTGTAAAACAAAGCAAAATTGTAACCCATTATTTGATCAATTTGTTGTAATGTCAAAAGAAACTGTTATAGAAAAAGCGCGAATAGCTGGTGATTTTGAGTTACCTTGACGTTGAATCTTCCAATGTGGAAACCTGTGTAGCCATCTTTCACAGTGTCCACAAGCCCACCAGTAGATGCCACAATAGGGACGGTTCCATATCTCATGGCGTGCAGCTGAATGAGACCACACGGCTCAAACCTGCTCGGGACAATGATGAAGTCAGCTCCAGCAGTGATCATATGAGCCAATGGCACGTTGAATTTCGCCACTCCAACCGCCTTCCCTGGGAATTTCTCTTCTAGTTCCAGAATCTGAGCCTCCATCTTCTTCTTACCAGTCCCCTGTGAAAACATGAGTCAAGAATCAATAAGTTTGTGATCGTAAAGACGTTATGATCACAAGTCCACTGCTTTGTGTACTCACAAGGATAACCATCTGAACATTGAGCCCCATGAACTTGGAAATAGCTTCCACTAGAATATCAGAGCCCTTCTGCTCCTCCAATCTCCCTATGAAACCGATAACCGGGACATCGCTGTCGACTGGAAGTCCAACAGCAGCCTGAAGTGCTTCTTTGATCAATGGTTTAGCATCTGTAACCTGTAAAAACGAGTAACAAGATCGGTAACATTTCCCGTAACTTCTCCTATCTTAATGCACTGATCTTCAAGAGAAATCTTACAGTGGTAATATCGTATTTGATATCGATGTATTTGTCAGTAGACGGGTTCCATTCTTGAACATCCATTCCATTAATAATTCCGGAAACTGTTTTCATTCGAAGATATGTATGCAACTCCACGCCTCTATCGACTCCAGAGATGAGTTCTTGAGCGTAGTATGGACTAACTGTTAAGACACGGTCAGCTTCCAGAATTGCAGCCTTCATCCAATTAATTTTCCGTCCTTTTACGGGCTTTTCATACCTGAAAATAGAACAAGAAGTTACAGTAACTTAAGCATTGACACATGAGACAAATGGTGTCATGATCTGTTCTTCTGATGAGAAAATTTCATAGAAACCAGTACCCGTCCATGAAGTCAAAAGAACTTTTAAAGCTGATGGGCAAGTTGAGAAGAGAATAGTCATCAAAGGCAAATCTTCCTTGGTAGGCTATGTTGTGAATGCAGAAGACAACCTAAAAAGTATCAAAGCTAGAGTTTCAGTTCAAGGTTTGGTAAAGTTTGCTACTTTAAACTCACTAGCTAATTAACATGATGAAGGAACAAAAGTTATATATATACCTTTGCATTCATGTAGACTCCGCGGGATTGATACATAGATTTGAGGTAACATGGAAGGAGAGCAGTGTGCCAGTCATTGGCAACAAAGACTACATCTTCACCTATAACATCAGAGAGATAGGATTTGTTACTTTTCAGAAATCGAAGTTTTAATGTTCAGAAGAAATCATTTTCTCACCATATGGTCCAGAGAAGTACTTGCTGCTATTCAGGTTCAGAACCTGTGGTGCCTCAAGAGCAGCCTACCAACCATCAAAAGTAAATCAAGTTAGTCCTTATGCCGCATATACGTTATTCAAACACAGATTCTGCAGTAGCTATGAAAATTATCTCTCTAGGCTACATGTTTCAATCAAATGAGAACCCACGACTCAGAAACAACACAACCCTCAGAGTTCAACTATAGAAGTAAAAGGAAAAAAGTGTTACCTGACACAACAAACTGAACCGGAGTTGATTGTCATTGTAGTCTACTCCAGTTATAGGACCATATATTTTGGATCCTGTTTTGCCCACAACCTGCATTATTACAATTCCTCATGAGCTCAAAGACATTAGTACAATACACCCTTGTGATTAGCTAACCAATATAAACAAACCTTAGCAAGAAAGATTGGATGGTCAACAAAGACACGATCAACTCCTCGTTTATAGCAATGAAAGAAACGAACATTCTCAACTTTATCCCCAACTTTGATCTGCATCAGATAACATTACAAGATAACTTAACTAAGCATCCTAAACTCATCATTTGAATAACATCTCAAGAAGCATAATATTCATCAAGGTCCATACAGAGCAAAAGAAACTTGAGATAATTTTACCTGAACCACAACACAAGTGTCCCAAGCATCTTTATATTGGTCATACCGAGGACAAATTGTCATCACACGGTGACCTCTAGCCTAACAAAAACCATAACATTTAGGTTCATCAAAAACCAAGTAAAGACCTCAAGACATCAAATCAAGCTAATGTGTATATAAACTTACAGCCAAAGCTGGAGGTAGACCACCGAGGACATCACCAAGACCACCAGTTTTACTCCATGGACCAACCTCAGCTCCAATAAAGATCACAGACATCCCTTTCTCACATACAATCTTACCACCAGTCTTAACTTTAGAAGACCCCTTTGAGGATTTAGCAGAAACAGATTTAGCTTGAGATCTCCTCTGAAGCTTATCCACCATGTTGAAAGACCGTAACCCACAGTGAGTCAAGGATTGACCTTTTAAGGTAATCTGAGACAGATCAGAGCATGAAGAAGCTCCATGATTGTTGAAAAGTGAAGTTCTTGACACAAAGTGTGAAGAAACAGTCACAGTTGCCATTATGAAAGAGACCCTTTTGCCTATATTCAACAGAGGAACAATCAAAATCGAAACTTTCAGTAAAAAGATACAAACTTTGCGATGATTCTTTGAAAAACTCACACGGCAACTGAGGAAAATAGAGCTAATGGAGGAGATGAGAAAGTGAAGAAAGCAGAGGAGAAGAATGGTCCGTTATGTAGTAGAGAAGAAGAGTGGAGAAGCTTGGACTGACACGAGTGACACGTGTCGTTGCTATAGTTGTTGAGTGGCGATTTTCAATCACATGACTACATGAGAGTCACAAGTCAATGGCATTGCCCGAGAATATGTGAGAATCTTGAGGCTAGAGTTTTTAACTTTGGTCCGAGTGGCTAAGAATCGACGGCTGAGATTTGCCTGGCTTTGGGGAACTGGGACCTTTGCTTATACAAGTGTTTCTTTTGTCCTCGTGCACCTCATGAACGACATTTTTTCTTGGCCCATTTGTTGAACATTCACGGTCGACAATTTTTGTCATGTTTTCTTTATTTGTGTAACTACTTGATTTATATCAACTTCTAAGTTTAAATTCAAAACGTTAATGCTTGCATACTTTTCAAGTTTCTTGCGTTGTATGTGTATTTGGTACATGAATGATGAATCTATCAAGCTGTGCTAAGATGTAACTAAGCATAGGAAGTCACCAATCTAAAATGAGTTTGGTTCAAAACACACTTCTTTCTAGAGTTAATTTTTTTCAAGATATATTACCAAAAAAAAAAATGTGTGGATAATAGAAATACTCTAATAAATTCCTATCGAGAAGTAATTTTGTTTAAGAAATCTTGGAATGTTAGAAAGGAGTTACTGTCATGATTAATTTTTTGGTTATTGTGAACGGTTAGGAGTGATTTGTCGCAACATAGGAGATCGTGTGATGTTGCAATCTCTCCAAGACAGACAACTTCACGCATCCACAATATATATAACATGCCCTCTGGTCCGTTTTTAAATGTGTCCATATCGGTTTCTTTATCTTTAGAAACTAACATTTTGGAAAATTAGTCCATTCACTATTTTATATTCCAACTTGTATCATGTTTGTAGTTGAAAATGCGCCACTAGTTTGTATGTGAACTAAACGAAAATATAATCGGTTCATGAACTAAATATATATGTAATCGTGTTCAACTCCAACAAAAAAGATACTAATTAATTAAGTTACAATTTTGAAATATTGACGGATAAGGCTCATATTACTTTGGTTAATTGACTTTTTATTTGACAAACAACTTAGTCAAACACAATCAAAGTTGAAAGAATTTGGTTATTTTTCTTAAATGAGATACGAGATAAATTACTTGAATGAAAATTATGAAAATGTGTGACAATTCACAAGTCGTAGACCGTACGTACGTAGATATGTGGGATTAATGTATTCCACAAAATCTGCAGTTTCCAAGTAGCCTTGCAAGTTGCAACGTTTATTTCCCTTCGCTTAAACATGTAAGTCATTTTCTTCATTGGTCGGTGAATACTAGTGGAATAAAAGGAAAAAAAAAGATCGCAAAAAAATTGGAAATAGCTAGCCATAGTAATTTCTCTCCTACACACTCTTTTATAAATTCTCCGACTAGCTTTCCAACAACACACCACAGTCTCTTTCTTTTTATATCTTTCCTACAAAACAACATCGTACAATGGGAGATGCGGCGGAGCAAGCACGTGGTTTCCACGTGACCACCACAAGGAAGCATATAGTCACGGCTGCTCTCCCTCTCCAGGACCATTGGCTTCCTCTTTCAAACCTCGACCTCCTCCTCCCTCCTGTCCACGTCAGCGTTTGCTTCTGCTACAAGAAACCACATCATTTCTTATCCGTGGCTGAAACCCTAAAAGCTTCCTTGGCTGAGGCTCTCGTCTCCTACTACGCCTTTGCTGGCGAACTCGTGAAAAACTCCGCCGGAGAACCAGAGATTCTCTGCAATAACCGTGGCGTGGACTTCCTCGAGGCGCTTGCTGATGTGGAGCTCCGAGAGCTTAACTTGCATGATCCTGATGAAAGTATCGCCAAGCTTGTTCCGAAGAAGAAGCATGGAGTCCTAGCTATTCAGGTAACATAACACTGAAATCATACTTCATCAGACACATATTGTTGCAACGACATAACTCTCTTTAATGTCTAATTAGGTCACTCAACTTAAATGTGGGAGCATAGTGGTTGGATGCACATTTGATCATCAGATAGCAGATGCTTTCTCCATGAACATGTTCCTTGTTTCTTGGGCTGAGATCTCTCGATCCGATGTACCAATCTCTTCTGTCCCATCGTTCCGGAGATCAATGCTGAACCCGCGACGACCTTTGATTATCGACTCATCTATAGACAAGATGTATATGCCTGTCACGTCTTTGCCCCTTCCACAAGAAACAACCAATGACCCAGATAATATTCTCACAAGCCGTATCTACTACATCAAAGCAAATGCGTTGGAAGATCTCCAAAGTCTTGCAAGCAGCAGCTCCTCCAAGAATGGTTATAGTCAGAGGACAAAACTCGAGTCGTTCAGCGCGTTTCTATGGAAATTGGTGGCGAAACACGCAGGAAGAGAACTAGTCTCGAACAAGAAATCGAAAATGGGCATCGTCGTTGATGGAAGGAGAAGACTTATGGAGAAGGAAAACAGCACTTACTTTGGAAACGTTCTTTCCATCCCATTTGGTGGGCACAGTATCAATGACTTGATTGACAAGCCATTGTCTTGGGTGAGCAACGAAGTTCACAAATTCTTGGAAGAAGCAGTGACAAAAGATCATTTCTTAAACTTGATCGATTGGGTTGAGATTCACCGCCCGATACCGGCAGTGTCGAGGATCTATAGTACCGGAGCCAACGATGGACCCGCTTTTGTGGTTTCCTCCGGGAGGAGTTTTCCGGTGACCAAGGTGGATTTCGGTTGGGGCTTACCGGTTTTTGGGTCCTACCATTTCCCATGGGAAGGCAGCGCCGGATATGTGATGCCAATGCCGAGTCCCGTGGACGACGAGGACGGAGATTGGGTGGTTTACTTGTATCTTACGAAAGGACAGTTAAAGTTCATTGAAGATGAGGTTTCCCATGTGCTTAAACCCATAGACAATGACTATCTCAAGATTAACACCATCTTTTAAGTAAAACCCTCATCTTTTTCTAGTTAATGTGTAAGTTACACTGACGCCATCAAGAGTATGATGGCTTCATCTTTATGTGAGATTGATACCTTAAGGTTTTCAAGATTTGCTATATTAACCTCAGGAAATCATTTTTAATCTCCTCAATCAACATATTGTCACTCATCTTGACATGTAGCCCTATACAGAACTGGCCTTTGGGTCAAAGAGAGCTTATAAAAAAAGATTGGTCTTTTTGCAAAAGTTACGTTGGTCTAGTAATTTATTTACTGAAGATTTATCATCATCTTCGAGTTCGAAACTTCAGTATGGCTTTATTAATGTTCTTTTTCATTTTTCAACAAAATAATAAATTTAACAAAAATGATGCGGCCCATTTGTTCCTCATGTTTGTGGTCTTACAAAATTCAGGGTCGACACTGGCACTATAGCTTGTTTCAACAATGTTCGATTAGGTAGAGCCTTTGCCATAAACAGTTGATCTAAAACCTTGAACATACTTAAGGTTGTTTTATTTATCCTTTATGATTTTTTTTTTATGAAGTTGCACTCCAACACTTAATATGATGGTAAATCTAGACTTTCATTGCTTCTTCTTTAGAGCTTAATTTGTCTTCTTTTGTTACTTGATGTGTCCCTTGTCATGTCGTAGCCATCTAGAGTCTTCTGAGTTAACTCTTTGCTTTGTCTTGCGTTTAATTTTTTTTTCTCTTTTCTTGTATGCATGGTTTGTTTTACTTGGAGAATTTCTTGCACTTAGACGAAAAATTACAAGATACTTGCATACCAACTCTGGATCTAGAGGACTTTTCCACAAGCTTAACCGCCAATTGTGAGTTTAATGGATTTTTTTTGCGGTTAGGAATTTCTTACGGACATGATTTTGGCGGAGCGGGTAAAAAGCTCGGTTTAACATCCCTAATAACTAATATTGGTGATCGATCAACAAAAGTTATGTATCAATATTTGGCTTAGCTGAAAGTCTACTAGTATATATTTGACTAAACACAAAAACACCAAAATCCATACACAACATGCGTTAAGCCGTTAACATGTTTGGTCGAGTCAAATGATCAAATAGCACCATCCTTGTCCTTCACGCCTAAACTTGCGGACACCGATAAACTTCTTAATAAAATACTTAAATGGATCGAACCACATCTCATGTCCCGGTGAATCAAAAACGTTTGAACAATGGCCCAACGTTCAATAAACTTTTTTTAAGTTTTCGAGGTTTTTAAAAGACGCAAAGAATTTTTGAGTCTTATTACGACATGGTCACATGTCTAAACATGAGAAGGAAAAGCCATGTGAATGGGACCCCTCCTACTTGGAAAACAGAAGGCAACAATATAAGATTCAATTCAATACCGACCCTCCAATTCCATTGTCTATCTACTACAATTCAATTCAACCCAACTTGGACCCCAAGATTAGGCTGATCAACTTATCCATCTTCAGCGCGTGTCATCCACGCTCCAACATACATTTATCTCCATTTTGTTTAAGCCTGGCAATTATACCGAACCAGACCAGACCGGAATTTTGGTAATTTGGTTCCAGTTTCAATTTGGAACTCATATTGTTACATGAACTGAACCGAAGTTCATCACTTCCGAACCAAACCAATCCAAAGTTCGAATTCGGTTAAACTTCGGCTATATTTTTCTTAAACTGAACAAACCTGAGTTTCCGAATTTTTAAACCGAACCGGACCAAAGTACTCAATTGCCCAGCCCTAAATTTTTATAATAAAAATATAATTTTAAATGAAAAAGCCACCGCTATTTCTCTTGAAAGTTTCAACTAGATAGATTACACGTAAAGAAACGAATTCTATAACTTTTGTTGGATTGATTCTCTTCTAGAACTTTCATCTTTCGGTGAATTAAATTGTAATATTTCTAAGATTACCGTTAAATACGGAAAAAAAAATATGAATTACTTGTACATGACTCTATCATGCGAGTAATAAGTATCTGACATTTCCTATCTCCCAAGTTTTGCAAATTGTCATGACTTTCACGCTAACGAAAAAGACCTAAACAAGAAGAAGAAAAAAAAAAACGAAAAAAAATCTAAGCGCGTGGTATAACACGCGCCAAAGAAGCAACTTGGAAATTGGAACATCGAAGAAAAAGCCACTCAAATTCTTCACGCTTTCCTTTTAGTTCAACACGGTCTCGTTGCATATATAAACAAAACCTTATTCGTCATTCTAAATAAAACACACCTAAAGTTCTAACATCTCTCTCTTTCTCTCAACAGATTTCAAAGTCTCTTCTCTTATTTTTTATTCGATAATGAATTCTATGTTTAGTGCCTTCGACGCTCTCTTCGCAGAACTCATGGGAAAGAACCTTATGGCTTCTCCGTTTAATGCTACTACCGCCACCGCCAAGCCAGCCGCCACACCGCAAACGCAAACGCAAACGCAGAAGAAGGAAAACGCAAGTAGCAAGAAGGTTGGTTTGGTGCAGAAGACTCCGAGGTTTGCTTTGGAGCTTGATGGTCTTCACTGCTTCGAAACAATAGTCCGTTCTTGATTTGATTTGTTCTTGGTTCTTGGTTTCAAGATCAGAAACTTAGAATCTGAGTTTTTTTTGTTATTTTTTTATTGTATTAATTCATTATAACATGTGATTGTGAATACGTTTTGGATTATTGATCGATTTGATCCGGTTATATACTACTTCTTGATTCTCAGATTTGTGTTCAATTTCTCCGGTTCTGGCTAGGATACATGGGTTTTGGTTCGGTTAAAGTCGAACCACAACTACCTTAACAAAATTTTAGACAAGTTATAATCTGAAAATCGAATTCAAAGTAAACAATATATTTAAACAGATCTTAATTCGTTTAAATTTAAGAACCTATTAACATGAATTGAGAATTTGAAGTTTAAACCAAAAGGAGATCAAAAAGAAAAAGAAAAACAGAAAAAAGAAGTTGAACCAAACCAAAAGCGAGATTTGGCTACCCTATTTGATGAAGTGGCGTAGTTAATTTCATGGTTATTTGATTTTTAAAATTTTCTTTAAAAGATAATTAAATAAATTGATCCCAAATCTAATGGTTGCGGCGGTTGATACGTGGAACTTTTTTTTGGATTGCTTTTTTCTTTTTATTTTGCATTTAATTTAACATTATATTAGAATTCCAGACTCAACAGTTTGGTCGCATAAATAAAGTTCAGTACTTTTGCCAAGGTGTTGGTGGTTGGATGTATATGTTATGAACATGCAAATATTCTTGAAACTATTCAACAAAGTTTATTATAAAAACCATCACCAGATCAAATAATCAGAATTCACACTTCCAATTTCAATGATGAATCCTACAAGCATGTATCGAGCTAAAGAAATAATAGATCATTTAAAGGTTGTAGTTGAAATTTCACCAAATATTGTAGTTGAGTAATTTGAATTATATGGTCTATTAGACTATAGGTTTGTTTATATTTAATTCGTATTAGCTAACTCTACTACGGTAAGACTTTTGATTTGGGAAGTCAATAATAGTGTTTTTTTTTTCTTTGACATCGAGTCAATAATAGTGTTCTCAAAATATTTGTTATTGAACTGCAATTGTTTCAGTAAAACAAAAAGAAACTGCAATTAAAAGTCAATGTTCTTATAAACATTTTGGGCGGTACTAAAAGCTCTCCAAAGACACTTCTAGTCACTTCATCTGTGTTCCTCATAAACAAATAACCCAAAAACTTAAACCGACAATATAAAGAGATATTTGCAAGGTCTAGGTAGTTGGTTTTTTTAGTGCTATAAATATTAAACTATATAATATGTTGTAATTGTGGAGAATATATCACAATTGATTGACTATTTTTGAGATTAAATTATTTTCAACTACAACCGGAATAGCTAATTCATCTTCATTTGCGATTATTTTGCAAAAAAAAATAAAAAATCGACTATTAGTTTTTTAATAGTTTAGAATTTGAGATTATTCACCAACGAAGATCTCCCGTCATTATTCAGCAATATTTTTAACTAGATCATCACCAAAGTACAGGTTAAATTTTATTTATTACAAAATTTATATAATATATATATTAGATTTAAGTTTTAATATAGGGAAATTGTTAATAATGCCACTTTTTCAATGCCACTTTTCAAAAATACCCTTTTTTAAAAACCTTATAAAAAATGCTCTTAAAAATATAAGATTTACCCAAATATGTATGTAATATTATTAAAACATACACAAACTACATTTCTATGTATCTAAAATCTTATAAATACTTTATAAATACCTTATAAATGCATTTTAAATACCTTTAAAAACCTTTAAAATATCTTGTAAAACCTTTGAAAAACCTTAAAAATCCTTTAAAATAACTTGTAAAACCTTTAAAAACACCTTATAAAACCTTATAAATACTTGGATCGAGTCTTCAAGTAGTAGTTACAATCCATAAGTACCTTATAAACCTAATAAAACTTTATAAAAATTTCAGATTTAAAAAGGGGCATTTTTGAAAATGGACATCTAAAAGGGGCATTTTTGAAAAGGGGCATGAGAAAAAGGGTATTTTTGCTAATCCCCCAATATATATTATAATAGTAAGTGAAAAAATATTAATTTTTTTGGCAGTCCCTATATACAATATTAGAATAAATACAGAATTTACTTCTATAATACTCAATTATGGATAATATTTTTTTTAAGATATGAAAACGGAAAATAATTTTATTTTTAAAAAGTAATATTTTTTGAACAATGAGTTAATTTATGTTAACAACCACAAAATAGGATTGCATATATTTCAGTTAGATCAAAAATTAAAATATCATAAATAAATCGCATATAAAACATAGATTATTTTGAATTAATTAAGAAAATTAGGTATTATTTTGAATTAATTTAGAAAATTCTTTTTCAATTCATAATTCTTTGGTTGTTGAAATAGAGATTTGTTTGAGCTAATCTAATTACAGAATTTGTTTGAGATTTATAATTACGGAATTTACCAATTATTCGCATAATCGAATATGTTATAAACATATATTTAGTATATAATAATACCAAAATCAATCCGCGCGTGGAGTCTATATTTTTATTTTAGAATCTCAATATTTCATTTTAAAATATTGCGTGCACAATCTATTATTCGTTAATTGTAAAATTGCTTGCGGAATCAAATTTTCAAATATTTAGAGGTGTCAAACCATATTAAATGTTCTACACTATTTTTAAATATTCCAAATTAAAATCTTTAAATATTTTTTTGTAGTTTATAAAATTATGAATTTCAAAAAATAAATTATATGAAATTAAATATAACTATTCAAATAGTTATAAAGGATCAAAACTCATTTCATCATATAATATATTATATTTAACCCGCTACCTATTATAAATATTTTTAAAAATAATCAAATTAGAGTATTTATAATTTTTAACTTTTTGAACTATTAAGTATTGATGATATTCTCTAAAAGTATCAAGTAAAACTTATTTTAAATGTTGCAAATTAAAATATTTAAATTTTTATTGTAGTATATAAAATTATACATTTCAAAAAAATAAATGTATGAAATCGAATATAAATATTCAAATTCTGACCCGTTGCTCAGTCGGAATTTTGTTGACTTTTATAGATTGAACAATTTATATGCGTTTTTAAAAATTCAAATCTTGGCATATGCAGAAAAAAAATTTACTTTTTTATTATTATGTAGATGATATGATAATTTATTTGTTTCATATTAATATAATCATATAAAGATGAGAGGTGAAGTTTAATGATTAATAACAAATTAATATGGTAAGTTAGATATCAAATCTTATATGTTCATTTTGATTGGTCATTTAAAAAAAAAAATAACAGATTTTCGTTTTATAATTTAATTAAATTAATTAAATGATATAAATTAGTATTTTACTTGTTTATCCTTAATAAATTGAATGAAATTTGTTCTAAAAGAAGATTTTTGTAATGGCATTCTTTAGTAAATTCTTACAAAAGGGAAGGTTAGTTAAGGGTATCTTATAAAGTGTACTCCCCAAATAATAGTATAGGATTTCTAAAAAATATGTCATCGTTTATTCATCGTAAAATAGTCACACTTTATAGTAAAACGCGTGTTTTCTTGTACCGTTAAAGAAATTAGTTTATCCTTTGTTTTTGGGAAAATATCATTAAAATCCTCAACTTATTCAAAACGTTGATTTAAATCCTCAACTCACGACGAAACGAAATAAATATCAAACTTATGTTGACTTTCCAAATAAATATTAAACTTATGTTGACTTTCCAAATAAAAACCAAACTTTCATTGACTTGGCCATATTAGACATGACGTTAAGTGGATTAACAGACCATGTTAACGGGATTAATTTTCTGTTAACGGACCCGCTAATTGAAAATGACAATATTCCTTCTAAACATAAAACGACGTTGTTTTGTCGTAACTGCTCAATAAAATCCCGAATTTCAAATCATAAGAAGATTTAGGGTTAGGAATTTTGCTCGATTTGGGGATCTAAGATTGACTTTCGGGATTTAATACAATCGTTACGATAAAACGACGTCGTTGTGTTGTTATATGAAACGATGTCCTTATCAATTAACATGTATGTTAAAAGAAAATTAACTCTGTTAACGAGATCTATTAACCCACTTAACGTCGTACCTAATATGGTCAGGTCAACGAAAGTTTGATATTTATTTGGAAAGTCAACATAAGTTTGATATTTATTTGGAAAGTCAACATAAGTTTGATATTTATTTTGTTTCGTCATGAGTTGAGAATTTAAATCAACGTTTTGAATAAGTTGGAGATTTTAACGATATTTTTCCCCATTGTTTGTTTTACCTTGCCCTTCACTTCTTTAGCAATTAAATTTATTTTGATTCTTTTTACAAACCAAACAAATGACCAAATTTTGGTTGAGTTTATTTGTTTTCCTACCCAAACAAATGACCTAATTTCTTTTGTTTCAAATGGAACCAAATAAAAGAAACAATATTAACTCTTTTTATAGACTAGTCTTTATGAACCAAATAAATCCAACCCCTAACATTTATCGGAATAACAATTTACTTTTTTAGTTGACCTTGAGAGAATCATAAAAGACATAATCACAAAAAAAGAGCCACAAACCAATTCACATTCCTCTTCTATAAAAAGGTTACCAACTTACCATTAATTAATTAGATGAAAGATAAAAATTAGGTTCACCAAAGTCCAACCTAAACAATTCCTAAGGTCGTCTCGTCTTTGTCAAATCGCCACATCTCACGCTAAACCAATTGAGAAAATTAGGTCAAACTCGCGTTTGTTCACACGCGCTTTTAAAACAACAACAACAAAAGAAATTGGAAAATTTCAACTTTGGACTAACTCGGATCCAACTAGGATTCTTCTCTTTCCTTATCCAACACGGTCTTGTTTCGTCGCGTCTTTATAAAAAACTAAAACTCCTATATAAACAAAAAAAACCAAACTTTTTTTTTTTCTCATTCAATTGTTCTTCCTCTCACAAAAAACCCATCAAAGATCTTTTCTTTTTTTTCTCAATTCTTGTGATAATAATGAATTCGATGTTTAGTGCCTTCGACGCCATGTGTGCAGAGATTATGGGAAAGAAAGTCACCGCTGCTTCTTATGTCTACCGCTCTGAACGCAATTCTGCTTCTTCCGGCAGCGGTCAAAACGCGTCTTTGTCGCTCAAGAAAGATGAAAAAGCTTCCAAGAACATGGATTTACCTACCAAGACACCGAGGTTTGCTCTTGAGCTTGATGGACTTAATTGCTTCGAGACTATAGTTCGTTCTTGATCAATATCAAGATTACGAATTTTTTGCTGAGTTTTTTCTTTTTTCTTGTTTTGTTTTTGATTCCTTTTATGTAAATACAATTTTGGAAAATTCAATTTTCTTGATTACAATCATCATCATTATGTGATTGTTTAATTTCGAATTACTCGTGTTCTGCTTTATAAATTCATGAATTTGTATATATAATTAAAGAAAAAGAAGAATTTTTGTTTCTGTTCTTCAAGAATAGATTCTTCAAATCATAAAGGATCAAACTTTGCAAGAATTTAGGGTTTATGAGGCAAAAATTGGGGCTTAGAATGTTAAACATGGAACATCAGTCATAATCAGAACCTATACTAATGATCTATAAGAAGAAGAAGCTGAAACTATACATTACAGAGAGAATTTTAGAAGCTTGTGTGCCAAATTGCTCCATCGCCTTCTCCACAACGTTGATGTACTTCAAGCATTCTATCCACAGATTTGCATATTCCGCTACAGCTCCAATCGAACGATGCTGCGCAAGGGTTTCCTGCTTGACCCTTCCATTCACAATCTGCATACATAATAAAAGTGACCAACTTGATTCTTGAATGAATCTCATGTGCTTGTTTGATGTGTTATGAGTCAGGTTTTGTGTTTACCCAAGGGTGTTCCGCAGCAGAGGCTTCGATCATCGATATGTTCAACATCGAGACCAATGAACCAAGAACCTAAAGAGACGTCTTCATTTGCATACTTGTGAAGTAGTTGCCTGAAAAAAGACCGATGAAATTGTTTGAATCAACCTGTTTGTGATTTGAGAAGAGAATAGGTGAAACGACGAGCTGAGAGAGCTCACCGGTTTACTGAGATATAAGTTGCTAAGTCTTTGGAGATGGCATAGATTTGTCCAGTTGCATGTCTGAAGTATTTGTTTCCTTCTTCACCAAACTTCCAATATTCTGGCTCATGGTATTTGACTCCTCTGCAACACATTATCCGGATAAAAAGAGTCAACTACCTGTGTAAAAACATGATCTTGTGACAGATTTTGGTGCTTACTTTTGAGCAAGGACAGGTCCAGACTTCATGCAACCTATGTACACTCGCGGTTTTGATCTGTGGCGTGCCAATGTAGAACCAAGCATTCCTGGATGATAACTAAAGTTTGATTAAGCTTTTCTTGGAACAGTATTAATATGCTTTGAAAGACATGAACTGACCGAGATTTACGTGAACATCATCATCCACTTTGATGTAGAAGTCTGCATCCCATTTTGCAACAGCAGATGAGAAGTATATTTGGGTTTTAGATGATAATTCATGATAACCTTCTATGTGATTCTGCAAGATTTAACTTTCATCATCAAAGGGAAAAATAAACAGTGATATTATAAGCATGTGGGCGAGCGAAACAAGGCGTTTACCAGACGGAAGAAGTCTTTGTGTTGTTCTTCTTCGGCTTCAATGGTGTGGTCCAAGACCCCCCCAGGAGAAGAACTATTAGGAATGATAGACAATATTAAATGACAGTTGATATTTAGTCAATGTTTGAAACCAACGACAATGTCAAATTGTACCTGTGACCAATGACAAATCTCATAATGATTCCCTTCTCTGTCTCTAATCTTTTCAATTCATCCCCTGCAAAAGAATGAACAAAGCAACAATCTTTTTAACACTTTTGTCACATATGCTATGGAAAAAGAAGAGGTGGTTTGTTCTTGTTGGTACCTTTAGGAAGCCAGGTTCCTCTTATTGAGTCTCTTCGTTTTCTGCTACTGAAAGCAGTCATGATTCCCATCACAAAAAACATCCGAGGCCGAATCTTCAATTGGTCTGCTACTGATTTTGCAACAGCTGGAGATCCATCTCTACCGTCAGATCTTGCTGCTCGAGCTGAAGCTAGTTCTACTTCAAGAGAAGAAATTGTCTTGTCTAATTTCCTGTAGATAAAATGCATACTCAATAAATCTACTGTATAAAGCAATCTCTCATATCAAAACATGTTTCAGTGAGACCAAGAAACTTACTTGATAACATCATGAGTATGCGAAACTCGAGATAGAATGTCTCCTTCCTGGATAAAAGAAGCATGCCAAACTAAGATTAAGTGGACAAAACTTGGAACAAATCAGGTAACGTTAACACACAATGTCATGTACTTGCCTTGCTCTCACAATCAACAAGAGGATGAAGTGATCTAGATTGATCATTTTGCTCAGATGAAGCTCTCTCAATGCCATCTACGGTTTCAAAACTTGCCAAAAGCCTAAAGAAAGAAAATATGTAAGATCAGACGCTAGGACATTTAAAGTGCTATCCATCAACCAAAGGGCTTAAAAATTCGATATAGAACTAGTTGGATCGATATACCTAATTGAGCTTGTTTTATATTCTACTAAGCACAGAACCAATAAAAAGCAAACTCGTAATAAGAACTAAAGCTAAACAAAGAAAAAACAATATCTTTCCAACTTTATGGAAAATTCTGCATCAGAATGTTCTAGATTCACCAATGTGGAGACAGAACATAGAGTAGGAGGAACAAAGTTGCAGACTTTTAAGCTACATCTAAACGAAATCCCCTAAATTTCATCAACAGTAACAGTAACAGTAACAGCCGAACTAAAAAAGCTGCTTCACATGGAAACAGGAGTCAAGATTCCACAGCATTAGCATTGAGGAATCTAAAAGATAGAGACAGAGAGAGTGAGAATTAAAGAACCTGTTTACAACAAGAACACCAAGAAGGAAGCTAGAAATACAGAGAACAAAAACCCATCTCGCTGAAACACCAGAAGTTGCAGATTTCTGATACCTTCCCATTCCCATTTTTTCTTTATACTATAGAAAGAGAAAAAACGTTTCGAAGAACTCTTATTGAGAGAAGAGGAAAGCTAGTTTCTTTATTTTTAAGGTTGTCTTAGCGAGAACAACAGGTGAACTCATCAAAACGACATCATCGTCTTCACTGATTATGTCCGTAATTGATTCCTCCTTTTCTTTCTTTTTATCTTTTTTTTCATCTTTTTTTTCATTACTCTCTGAATTTTGGAGTAGACTAAGTTTTTTAAAACAAAACAAAAACAAGAAAAGAAAACTCACAAGAAAAGGTGAGTTTTTAAATCTTTTTTAGTGCTTTGTTTTTATTTTCGAATATGTGTTTTTTTGGTTGATCAATCAAAAGTCATTATTGCTGGCGAAAGGAGTCGCGTGATTCGCAGCTTCACTGTTCTGTTCTGTTCTGTCCGTCCCAAGACAAAAATGCGAACTTCCAAATTTGCCCCTTTATTCTCTACAACACCACCAATTTTGTTTTCTTTCTGATTTTTAGATACTCTGCAACGGTTATATAACTTATCTTCACGAATTTACTTACGAAAAAACTATATTGTATGTACCAAAAACAAAAGTTATTATACATATATTTTACAATATATTATAATTTTTCTCGTTATGCATATTTTTTTCTCTTTAAAATAAAACATTTTTTAAAAATTTGAATTTTTTACAAATGACAAATGAAAATAGGTAGAATCACAAAAAAAAAGAAAAAAAAAGAGAAGGTAGAATCTCGAATATAGCAGGTTTAATGGGTCTTTTCGGATCTCTCATTCGTTAGGTGACAATTGGCTTTTTTCTCATCTATGTGATCTAATTTTTATTTTAGCTTCATCTTATATTCCTACAAAATCTAACCATACTATATACTTTATGTTTGCGTGTATATTTACATATACAAATAAAATGTCCATAACTTTGTTTAGTGTTGTGAATCTTAACCACTTTTTCTAGCTAAACTACATTGTACTATGAGACAAAAACCTGAGCGTGAGATTAGTTTAAGTGGCTCGACGTTATTAGTCTTCAGAAAATAGATCAAGGTTTTGATGCAAAGACTAATATAATCATTATTTATGTAGCTCGACTTTTATATCATTAAATTTAGACCAGAGGGTGGCCACCAACATTCATTAAATAAATAAATTAAATGATTAGTACCATTACCCATCAATTTGAAGGAATTATGGGTTGAATTATACAGATAAGCACATTAATACTATATTATTCAGTTTCATACTCATTTTGGCTAAGGTACATTACTTTGAACCAAAGAAACATGTAAGAAAGACGGTTGATTTTATATTCTATTAAACATGATATGCTATATTATTCATGGACATGGGAATTGTCTCGAGCATTGATTAGTGATTATTATGAACTATCAAGGAACATAGATCCATTATAATAATAATAATAATAAAAAAGGAACATCGAAGTGTTTTTTTTTTTCCTTTTCAACTTTGGTATTAAAAGTTACGACAATACGGTTACATTGACAAATTACAACAATGAAAATTAAATTTATCAAAGAAAAATGATAATAACAACAATGAAATTTAAAATTAAGGATCTAACATGTATAATTTTTTTTGTTAGTGTATTATCTAACAGTTTGCTATACTATATAATATGTTATGGTCTCTGTTATATGTTAGAAAATAACTCTTAGATTATAAATGTGTTTCCGCAAACTAATTCAAATCGATAAACCAATAACATTTTTTTAGTGACAATAATATGGAACTCACATGAGCCTTATACGCCCAAACTCGTCGTTGGTTAGTATGGTTACCACTACATATTTATTAATGAGTCAATTTGCGCAGAAGTATTATTGGGACATCAAATTAGGAAAAAAACATTACGGCTGCATGTCTGAGACAACAAAAAAATAAACGATGAAATGGGTCTTCAAAAGTCAGGTATTTACAAGAAAACCAGCGTCTCCGTTTTCACTGCGCGTGGGGTAGAATTATCTGGCCTTCCACATAACCAAAAGAACAAACTGACGAGTCTTAAATACAAAATAGTTGAAGTGATTGTTATCTGGCGGCTGACATACGAGGTGACTGGCATTTAATGAAGCAACTCCAAGTTGGCCATTACGAAATTTAAACGGCTGCGAAAAGATTTGGGCGGGATACACAATTTTTAAGACCTAACCTCACAGCGAGAACCCCCAATAAATAGGTGGCCGCATATGTCAAACGAAGTAGAGA